GGCTCGGCGTTGTCTGGCTCGGCGCCGTGGCCGCCTGGCAGGGCCGGGACTCGGCTCAGACTGCTGTGGTCCCTCGCAGCGCGCGGCCCCTTCGCCTCGCCTTCGCTCACGACATCCTCGCTCTCCTCGCGGGCCGGGCGTCTCTCTCCCTCAGCTTCCACGTCGTGCAACCCGTCCCTCTCCATCACCTCCTCACCGGCCGGGTCGGGCTGGACCGGGCCGCGGGGCCGCGCGGCCGCGCAAGTGCGACCGCGATGTGACATGTGACGTGACGAGGAGCGTGAGCCGTGACAGTGTTGTGGTGGCGGGACCACCACGCCCCGCCCCGCCCCACCGCACCCCGCCAGGATTACTTCATGGACTCGTAGCCCCCCACCTCAGCGCTGGACCTCGCCGGGGTAAGCAGCAAAACTATACAGCACTCGCGGGTGTCGACGCGGGCCTTCTTGTCCAGGCAGGCGACCATGCACCAGACCCGGAGAGTCTACGGCCACGGCCGAGGCCAAGGTCTGGCCGGGACCCTGCTTTCCTCTCTCCCCCTCCCTCCCTCTCGCCCCTTCTCTCTCTTTCTCTCTCTCGCTGCAATTGTCTCAACGAGCAGCTATTGCTGCGGGAGCTCCTTCCGAGTCACTCCCGATCAAACGGCCGTTCGTATCCATTACCAGTCGGGCCAGAGCCGGGGACCGACCGGCGGGGACCGATGCGACAATCTTTTGAATGACTGAGCTTGGGGCGGGCCGCGCCGCCCGCGCCGCACAGCGCTCACAATAGGGCGAGGTGCCTTGGCCGTCTCTTGTCTCCGTCCCTCTTGCGGGGGAGGGAGAGGACTTTGTCATGAATCCCTCCGTGCGAGAGGATTAACATTTGCGCCTCAACCTGACACGTGACACGTTTACATTTGAGGTGTGCGGCGAGAGGGCAACAACTCCGTGAATCATGTGTGCTCCTGCCTGGGAATTATCAGGATAAAATTTATCGAAATCAACGGAAATCGCTTAAAGTGAGCGCGGGAACTAGTGGAACTTATTTGTTCCAGTGTACACATCAAAAGGAAGGGGAACATTGCCCTCTCGGTGTGCGGTGTGCCATCGTTTAATTTGACTGCTAGCAGCTGCGAAACGGGGATGTATATCATCCGCGGACCATGGTAAATTTCACACAAAAGCAGGCTAGGTGATAATCCGGCACGTTTGCGTCCTTCTTTTCATTCATCGCCCGCCCCAAAAACTTCAATTTGGCGCCGAGTATGCAGTTGTTCAACTTATTCCGATGCGGAATGCAAATGTCATGCATGAGACTTTGTGTTTCGTGTGTGCAGCGCGCGCCGGGCTGCGCCAAATTATTGCCATGATCTCCATCTCTCGCGGCGAAGCGCGGGCGTGGCGGGGCGCGGCGGGGCGTGGCGGGAGGGGAGGGGGACAAGCTGCTACTTATACCGCGCAGCGTCGCCGCCCGCCCTCCGCGGTTATCCCGTGTCCCTCCGAAAATACTTATTATTCTGAACGGCGCCGGGGCGGGGCCGCGCGGGCCGAGCAGGCGAGGAGCCGCCGCCGCCTCCTTCGGGGGACTCCCGACACGCCGCCGGCAGCAGCGGCCCGGGGGGTCAATATTGTGTACTGTCTCTCGTTAAAAAGCGAAATCCATGAGAGGATGAACAAGACCTTGTTGGCCTGTATTTTTAGGAGGGGGTCGGGAACCCGTGCCAAGTTTCGTGGTAAATCAGCGACAGGCGTATTGGAGGTGCACCCCCTTTTCCTCTTTCCCTCCCACTCGCTCTTTTGCCCTCGTCTTTTACACCAACAACGGCACATACTCCATCACTTTATTTACCCAACTCTTGTTCTTGTGTGTTTTTCTTTTTTGCTTTATTTTCAGTTGTCATTTTTTATCTATTGCGTCCTGCCTGCTTACGTAACTCATCTGCTACTAAAAATGTTCGCTCTTAAATTGCCCGAGTAAAACAATACAAACAAAAATAATAACCACCCGCGACCAGAGTGGAAAGTCCGGGTAAATATTACATTTTCAATTCTGCGGTGTCGCAACGACGAAAGCTCGCCATTTCGAGCCTTTTGCTGAAACGTGGGAGTTTGCTCATTACTCCGTGTGCGTGCAGAGGGAGAGAGGGGGAGGGGGCTGAGCGAGTGGGCAACTGCTAAAAGAAGTGTGTGTGTGTGTGTGCGTGCGTGTGTGTGTGAGCATGTGTGTGAGAGTGAGACAGCGAGAATTGCGGCCAGTACAGTTGAGCCCGTTCCGTTGCATTCTTGAACACCCCTCACCCCGACCTCACCCCTGCCGGCCTGCCGGGCACGGAGAAACTTCTCGCAGCAGGTGTTGACAGGTTCGCGTGGCCTGGGCGTCCAGGTCGGTTCACTACGGCCCGGTGTAGGTCTAGTCACACTTCTCACTCACACGCACATCTGGTGTGCATGCAAACACACACTCTAACACTCTCTGCGACAATGCCCTCACAACTACGCCGGAGAGAAAGGAAATATTACATTCCAGGAAAAACATGACTACACAGTCTCTCTCTCTCTCTCTCTCCCAGACAAAACTCAGGAACGAAAATAAACGGGCGCAGGAATTTAGATTAAGCTGACATGAACGGCGCTTTGAGCGCGCGACTGCATATGCGTGCAAGCGGCTGCCGCATATGTGTGTGTGTGTGTGTAGGTCTCCGAGTGCGAGGGACCTGCTGTTCCTTTCCTGCGTGCATGCTGACGGAAGCCGGAACGGAGAATGAACGCAAAATGCACGGCGGATTTGAAAGCACGATCCGGACCGGACAAGGGATCAAGATAATAAGGAAAAGGCGATCTGCAGCGAGCAGGGGGATTGCCCCGGTGGCCAAGGCCGAGGGACGCCAAGTTCAGTGGCACGCGCAGCCACGGGCCGCCACGGGCCGCCACGGGCCGGCAGAGGACAACGCGAACAAGAAGCGGGAGGAAGCAAAAGTTATCGTTCAAGAGTACGAGACGTGACCTTTTTTTCTCTTCGGGACACAGTTATTGCGTCGGGTTTATCTTGGGCATTATCTTATCGCGGTCGGGTCGCCCGGCAGGAATTTAAAGGTTCGCTGTTTGACTTTGCCGCGCGGCGCGGCCCTTGCACTCGTATACCAGCAGCCAGTGCGTTCAGGGCGCGGCCCCCGCCCCGGCCGCCCATCCATTTCCAACCAGCTAACTATTTGAGCCGCAGCGGACCAGCCGGGCCGCTTATTGCGGCTTTGCTCCGCGGCCACTGCTTTCGCCCGCACGGCTCGGCACTCTCTGCCCAGCACTCTGCGGCCGCCCTGCTCTTGTATATTGTTTTTGGGGGGCGTATCCCCAGCCAGCACCGCCGCCCATCCCATCCCTTTTTCTCTAGTCCGGACGGAAATTGTGGTGTTTGTGCAATTTCCGGCACGTCTCGGCGGCCCGGCCAGCACACCGCTCTTTGAAGCGACCCCTGCTGGTAGCTGGCCCGGCCCGGGCGGCGGCCGGGATGCACTCACACCCACCCAGCACAAGAGGGGGATAAATTACATCAGCCTCCATCTCAATTTTTTTTCCACCAACTCTGGTACTTCTTTTTATCGTCCACGCCTCTCTTCCTCCTTGAGCCACCGGCGTGGCGCTGCATTTGATGTGCGCGGGGCGATGCTTGTATCCCGTTGCCCCTACTTTCTGTCGCCTGCTTCTCCCCCCTATCCTCCCCGCTCAGCCTCACCACGCCCCACTACGCCTCGCCCACGCTCTGCCACGCTTAGAGGGTATTTGTCAGAAGGCAAGGCGCGCACTCTACGCCTTGGGGTCTCTTTATCTTTTAAACTCCATGTTTATTTAGCGAAATGAGGCGATGATTTCCCCCGGCGCCCCCCGCGACTACCCCCCCGTTACCGTTCACCTAACGTTACGTGGGCCCTTACACGACGGGACAGGCGGCTCCGCGGTTGTGCGAATGCGAGGAAGGAAGAGAGGAGAGAGAGAGAGAGAGAGAGAGAGAGAGAGAGAGAGAGAGAGAGTGCTAC